GCAAAGCGCCAGGCGACCCGAGACCCGAGTCAAGTGTTCAGCGCCCTCGCCTCGAGGAATCTCGGGAGCGGAGGTAGCGGCTGCCAACCTGGATGTGGGCGGGTCTTTTTCCAGGGGTCCTTGAAAAATCGTGTTTTTGTTTGGTTTTCCCTTTAAACCAACCCCGAAAGGGGTACCCTCCAAAAGGAAACGCACCCATGCTAAGGGGGCGGGTTCATCCACATGTGATGAACCCCAACAAAAAATAAAATGGGTGGTGAATTCACCTACCAACAAAAATGGCATCAAAACCACAGCCATATGGACATCCCCCCTAATGTTGACCCTCTGTAAATCAACCCCAGCTTCTTCATAGGGTGTGTGGTTGGTTTTAGTCGGGGTTCATCACTGTTAATAAAAAAAAAAAAAACATCATTTCCCGCAAAAACGTCGAAGTCCAAAGATCGCCCAGCGGCAGGCTCTGGCGGTCCACCTTGCCGCTGGCTGTGAGCGGCATGGCCTCGCGACGCGCGAGGAGCGACTCCATGCCCTACTGGTCAGTGGTGTGACTAAGAATCTGTTTGCATATCCACTAGGCACGGTTGGCACGCACTAGATTCACGAGATGAGTGGGCAATTGCATGTCCAGGTGCCAACTACCTCTTACCGACGGTGGTGTGGGGTCCCACGTAAAGAACATTTGTGTTGGGAATTGGTGCCCCCCCGCCAAACGTAGAACTTGACTGTACGGTTCTGGAACCCCAAACGGCTTGTTGAAAACACACATTCCCTCTGACCCAACGCTTCAAGGGATCCCTTGGCATGGTTCCCTGTGTGGCAAGGAGGGGGTAGTATCCTTTGAATTTTCCCCTAACATCAGCCCTCGAAACAACTCATGTTGTCGCACACCACCCAAGGATTAAAAAGAAAATCCCCTGGGCAACCAAGAGACCCCCGGTTTCTGCCCGCCTCAACCGTATGGACCTGCTGCGGCACCATGTACGCCTCATTGGGCGCCATGGTTTGTGAGTGTGAAGCTGCGAGTCTGCGACAGAACTTTCATCTTGGCCCTGGATTCATAAATCCAGCCAAAAAGGGTGCCACCGAACAACTGAGTTGATAGGGGGTGCTGCCCTCCAAAAGTGATGAACCAGGGGATTATTCCGCTGCACCCTGTCGGCTTGCCTTTGGGTTGTTTCGGCGTGTGTTTCAGGCGGAATTGTTGAGACCGGTGTCCATGGCAAACGAGTGTTGGGACCCAGTTTGATCCCGCCATGTGACGAGTGCTACGCACATGTCATAAAAAACCTGTTGCAGCAACATAAAATATAATGTGGAACCTAGCCGCGGTGTCACATGGCTTTAAATGAGCTGTATGCGCCATTTAGGGCAATGGAGGCCTGGAGTAGCCCAAGTGGAGCCGGCTCTTCAGCCGGTCGGACCAAAATCGCGAAGCTGGGGCTCCCCACCGGCAACATTGCCGCCTGAGCGTGGGAAAGGGATTTGTTCATCCTCGGTTGCTTTCTGCTCCCTTGCTAAAAGTTTAACTTTTTAGTGGTTTAATGGAACGCCCATGAGCTGGAAAAAAAGTTATAAAGTCCTAACATCCAAGCAAAATGCACCAAAGATTGGCCCAAAGGGGTGCTCCGAGCAAAAGGTCGTGATCGACCTGGAGTGCTGGACTCCGGAAGAGAGGTTAGAATAAGGGTATCGTGTCTTTTTTCTGTGGTCCATTTTAGTAGGGAAACCCTCCCCCAAAAAAGGGGAGAGAAGGGCACTACTGGGGGACCTGGATGCATTTGTTTCCAAAAAGTCCCTCCGGGCCATCTGGTCAAAGACCAGGTCACACCAAAGCCATACAAAGGTGATACTTAAACCACCCCAAATGAAGATATATTTATTCGGCACGCGGCACTGTGGTAAAACACTTCGCAGTGCGTGTCAACTTTGGATCCATGTGGACCGAGCAGGCAGTCATCCCCCTGTGGCCTCTGCAGAAAATATAAAAAATGCATCCAGGTTGCAGTTCTGGTCCCGCCCCCAGCCTGGTTCTTTTCAGGGTAGCCCGCCTATTGCCCAACCAATTACAAAGGGTAATGCAGTGTGCGGTGTCGTTCAAGATTTGCCGCTGCCTTGACATGAGTTTGCCACACCAAAAACTGACTTAGCACAAATCCTGAATGATGGCCCCTTGGAAGCAGTCTGGATCGCACACCACTCCCGAGTCATCTTCCAAACGCTTACTGTTGCAAGTCACTGGGCACAGAAGAAACGCAAGGTTGCCTTGGCTGTAGCCAAGGGTTCTGACATTCTCCACCTGGACTGAGCCTTCCCCCCTTCCCAAAGCCCGGTGTTCTTTTGGCACCGTCTCAAAGAGGCCAGCCCCATTGTCCCTCATTGTACCTCCGGGAAACCACCAAGATCCCCTGCGCGTTGAGCCGATTTCCAAACAGAAATCATCCTGGGCATGAACGATCGCGAGAAACAATAAGAAACGCATATGACCCCGGCCCACGGTGCTTCCTGTGCCGCCGCACTAGGTGCGCACGCAATGCCGAAGTCGTGACCGACGCATCCCTTCGACACCTCGGCTGTGGGGCAAGTGGCCTTCCCTTTGGTGTCCCTTTACAACAGCCCAACAAAAAGGGGACCCTCCCAAAAAGACAAACACCCAAGTTAAGAAGACCTAAACAGGCCAAGCGAGTCAAGAACAAGGAGGGCTTGGCATGGCTTAATGGGTGGCCCTTTCCAAAAACATGAGGTTGAACCAACAAGCTCCTTGCGGATGGCACGGATAGACGAGGATAGGTGCAAATAATTCAGATGAGCACCCTCTAAATACAGCCTGACAATGAACAAACACCATTTTGCAAACAACAACGAATATAATTAAACACATCCAGGACCTGAAGCTGGCGACCCCCAAGCAAAGGACTGGTGAGTTCTCCAGACAGTTCACCGTCACACGGCCTCTGTGTGTCAGCATCATGCCGGACTCCTTTCCTCCCAGCCAACAGGAGAAATCCAACCGCATCCAACCGCCCCGCAGGTGTTCTTAGCCAGCTGACGCAACAAAACAACCGGGGTTTTCGATGGGTTGGTTGAGCATGTTGAACCTTGCGCAAGACCCTCAGGGAAGTCCAAGACGGGTTTTCGTGCAGGGAAGTTCAAGTCCACCGCAGGCTGGATAGCTGAGCGATGTCCAAGTCCGAGTGGCTGCACGAATGCCAGGAGCATAGACCTTTGCGCGTTCCGTGAGGGCGTGGGAGAAGCTCCAAGCAGCTGTTTGAAAGGGAGCCCCTTGAAAAGCGGACAGCCAAGCCACATGTTCCGGCTAGTCACCAACTCTTCTATTCGGTTGAAAGGTCAACAAGTCTTAAAACGTTGAAAAAGGCTTCACAGAACCAAAGGCGGCAGAACAATACGAGTAGCAGTTGGCTTGCGGTGGCTTGCTCTTGGAAGCTTGAAGGCAGTGCCCAGATTCCTCTTTAACCGAGGTAACGTCCCCAACAGGGTGGTTTAACTCACCAAAAGGGGGAAATTGAAATACATAGGCAACAACCCTGTGCAATTTGAACTTGCGAGTGGTGCTGAAACCCACCAAAACTCGGTTGCTTTCTGCTCCCCTGCTTAAAGTTAAACATTTAGTGGTTTAATTGGAAAACCCATTGGTTGGCAAAAAGTTGAAGTCCTGACATCCCTTGGCAAAATGCACAAAGGAAAAGGGGAAGTATAGACAACAACCCCGTCCACTTCGCGCTTGCGAGGTGCACCTTTTCTTTGCCTTCTCGGCTTGCCGCTGTACTGACAGCCGGAGGTGGCCGGCCAACGACTCCAGGCCGGTGCCAAGCGCCGAGGGCGAAGGAATCCAAGGGGTGAACACGGACTTTCACGGCCTCTGGCCCTTGAAGATCCGTGAAGGCAACACATACACATATATATATATATATAATATATATAATAAATATGTATATGTCTAGACATGTGTATATATATATATATGGATACAGATACATATATATATATATATACAATATGATTCTTATTGTTATCACATGTTATAATTGCCGCTTACTAGTGTGTGCACTAGTAGTATTGCTACCATTCTTATGTTTAATCATAATATTGCTATTGAGTATTATTCTTAGTATTATTATTAAGTATCATCATTAACATTAGCAGTCCTATTCGCATTGCTATCATTATCATAATTATTAGCATTATTGTTATTTTTGTATATTCAGCTTCCCTCCAACTTGTGACTTGGTTTGATGGCGTGGAGTTTAGTGGCTGTTTTCCTTTTACCATCTACAAGAACCAGGGTTCAAATCCCCAAACCACCAATTAGCAGTTAAAGTTACGAGTCCCTGAAAGAAACTGACTAGACAGATACTGCTCTTAAAAAAACAACAGCACTCAACAAGCGCTGGGCGGCAACATGTTCGGTCCACATTCACCCTGGCGGGAGATGGATTTCCATCCACGCTCTCCTTTGTGCGGTAGCTGAAACGGATGGCCCCAAAGCCAGGAGCGCATGACGCGTGCTCGTCCGTGCCAGGAGCAAAGATAACATTCGCAGGACACCGCAGCAGCCAGAGAAAGGTCCAACGCTGCACAATGGCGGGAAAGCACTATCTGCGGGTGTGGCCACACCTCGCATGAAAGCCCCCTGAAAGCCAACTTAACTCTTCGCCTTGATGGCCCCTGCCAGGTATCATGGTGGGGAGGGTGGATATGTCTAGTAGGACTGTCACCACAAGTAGCCAGGATTTGTTTCTTGCAGGTGCGCCACGACGTTATCTTTCCAGGGGTATTTGAACCGTTCGAACTTCAGTTGCCCAGTGGTTCAGGTCGAAGAACCAAAACTCTTTTTGGGCTTGACTCATTTCTGAGTCCACCAAACAGGATATGCTTGGCCAGACCAGGCCCCCACAAACAACCAACCCACAAGCGCGGAAAAAGGTGTCCAAAGGATGCTGCTGAACTTCACGCAACCTCTGCAGTGTCCTGCTTCTCAAGCCTCATCTTCCAGCCTGCGGCATGGGATGGCTGCCTCGTGTTTGGTATCTGCTGATCATGGCGTTTGGAAACCCAATACCAAAGGCGCCAAGTACTCGCCTCTCAGCGTCTGCACTTGGATCTCACCCTTAGGTTGTCAAAAGGCCAACTGCTCCTCAACCCACAGGCAGGTAGCAGCCAATCACAACACCTTTGTCTTCCAACGCCCTGCAACAACAGGGGTCCTTCTTGATTTTGCTCTGGGTTGCAAACGGCAAATCGGGCAAAGGCCCTCGCTTTTTCAGGGTGGAAGGTCGATTGTCCCTGAGAAAAAGGGGGCTAGGGATTTCACCACCCTTTACAACTAGGTCCTCCAGTAGAGAGGCTAGTTCTGTAGTCTATTTTAGTAGGGTTCCCCTCCCCCAAAAAGGAACGGCTAAAAGTTGGCACCTAGCTGACCTAGACAGGGTCGAGAGGGGGGGAGGTTGGAGCAGGTAGTAACAGGGATCCTTGCATTATACACCTGAACGTTTCCTTGTAAATGATAGTTTCCCTATATTTTTTATGGCAAACACAACATGTTTCAAATGGTTACAAAACGTATCTCTTAAGGAGCCCTGATTAAAGGGCCTAGAAGTAAAAGCTTCACCCTTTGGAACCTTTATTAAAAATGGGATCCTAAAAAGGGGAAACCAAATTCAGCTTTGCCTTTTCCGCTGAAATGAACCGCCTCCCTTGAAAAGAGTTTCTACACTACCAGGGGGGGGGGGTCTTATTTATGCCACAGTGGAAAAGGCACACCATACACTAAAAGTTGTCATTTCAGGTCAATTGTGGAGATTCAAAGATAGGTGACAGACAAAAATCAAAATAAAAAACATGACCGTCGTCACATGCCGTACTGAACAAAGCAGGCAGAGGATCTGCATGAAAGGGGTCCGCAATTCCGCCTTCTCCAGGGCCGCCAGGCGCGCCGCCCGCAGCGCCGCCGCGTCGCCCGCGGCGGCGGGGGCGCCGGAGCCGCCCAGAGCCTCGAAACGGAGGGCGGGGTTTTCCAAAGAAACAAAATCCACCTGGAGTCTCAAAATTCCAAAAGAGGGGTTTTCCCGGTATGTCCGGGTTTCTGAACTTTCAAGATTTCCTGAAAAGTGGGGTTTACCCTAAAATTATGGGGTGATATCCAATTTTTATGGACAGTTTGAGGGTCCAGGTAACTGGAGTCTTCTGACCCTTAAAACATGGGGACTCGAAATAATGGGGTCATTGACCCATCTTTTTAAGGCTCATGGAGACTCCAGGTAGAGGTACCTTCCCCATTCTTTCCAGGAATCCTTCTTTCTTCCGGAAACCCAGGGAGAACGGCCGGTGTTTGGAGAGAACGATGGTTGAAAAGAATGGAGAATCAATCTCTTTGAGAGGAGAAGCACAAAAAATGGAAAACAAAGGGTGTAGAGGTACTCTTAAAGACATGTCCAGTGATAAACTCCCAGAAAGCGGGAAAATAACCGCCCACACACACTAACATGGAACCTGACAGGGAGCCCGGTGCCTTAAACGGAAAATGATGTTCTTCCCAAACCTCAGACCAAAGGAAAACCAAAATCCGGGGGCACCTTTATTAGGTTCTAAACGCTTTGTTCACCCCATTGAGGACGCTTTGTTCACCCCATTTGCAATCAAGGAAGGGCAAGTGAGTAAGCACCAGTTAGCATGCACGGCAGGTACGGCTAGCACACATTTGGAGACTTCAGCTAGAAAATTGGTGGCAAGTCGACTAACGTTCATGTGCCAAAATTGGGCGGACCCCAACAAATGCGGTGCGGGAAATTCGTTAAATCATTGCAGGGGGGGAGGGATATGAGAATCGGATGGCTTCTCTTTCCACCAGCCCCCAAAAGGCTCCCTTCCAAAAATGGATGGACTTGAGACTTTCAGCGTGAAACCCCAACGGCAATTCCCAAAGTATAGATCGGCTTGGGGGTTAGGGTGTGCTTCCCCATCTACCCGCTACTAGAAGGACCAGGGGGTTCACATCCCCAAACCACAAATAACCACCCATTCAGGGTTACTGAATAGATTTTTATTGTCTCAAAAGCAGAAGTGGGGCTTTCTTTTCAACGCCGGAGCAGGCTGTACATCACTCCCGCGGTTTGGGAAGCGGAGTAACACTTGTAGATTCTTTCAGATTCCATATGAAACCTCATCTTTTTATTTCTATGAAACTGTTCAAATCAGGTGTCTGGTTTCATTTAGATTCTTTCTGTTCACTCCTATCATGATGATCTTGACAAGTCTGAAGTGGCCAGCTCGGGCTTCGGGGCTTCGGACTCGAGTCCACCTAACAATCCTCTCCTAAACTAGGCTGGAAAAATCGGACCACAGCGAAACAAGATCTGTTTTTTGTTGCCTGGTGAGTGGAAAACAAAGGGAACCCCCAAAAAAGCCGCCCCCCCCAAAAAAAAGGGGGGAACTCATTCTGGGGAAGTAAACAAAATCGGGTTCCTTTCGCCTTCGCTTCAAGCAGCCACCCAAAGCCCGTGGGATGCCCAAAGCGGCTCGCTCCCGTTGAACCTGTTGCTCGCTTGCGGATGGATGAGACCTGGAAATGAATGGTGATCACCTGTTGGGTTGCCATGACGCCAACATGGGATCCCACAAATAGAAAGCCGAAAGGTCCAAAGGTCGATTCGCTTTGGGCAACTGAGGCCGGGTGATTGGTGACGCTGACAGTTCCCGAGCGGAACTGCGGCAGCTCCACGTCCAGAAAACCTTGGGCCCAAGTTCGGCTGAAAAATACCACTCTTCTACAAAAGTCCCTCCATTTCCCTGTGTGAGATCTCCAAAAGTCGCCATTGTTTTGGAACCCACCCAAACCCATCAGAATTTTTGAAGGGACGTTTCAGGTGACCCCGTCAACCCTCGCATCCCTCAATTCGAGGCGCTGTGCCGGCCGTCTCCCGCCAGTCGCCCGCGGACTTCTTCCAGCCGGCAAAGGTCTGCATGACGGCCTCGAACCAAAAACAAACAATCCGCAGCTTCAGATCCCCCGCGGAAAGTCGGAAAATGGCTCGTGGGCTACCAGGCACTACACCCAGACAACCAAAAGCCTCATAGGATGCCTGGCATCTCTGCGAAAGGCCCGGAGAAATTGAGAAATATGGCCGTGGGTCAAGAATTGGTACCCCAAGTGGAGCCCTGGGAATTGGAACCAAGGACTAAAACCTGCGGTCCCCTGGTCGTTTAATTTTGACCCATACCCATATAGTTCGGATTCTGTTCCTGATTTACCCGACGAGAAATAACAGTGTCTGGGCGACCCCAGATTTGGGGCAAGTCAAGATCGAAGAACCCGCCCTTCTCTCTCGCCCTGTTGCGATTGGTGCCTCACTTCCGGACCGGAAAAAGTTCAAACTGATTGTTTGCCACTCAAATGCTCCAAACCGAAAAGTGACCGAAGTCCATGAACTTGATTTATACTGGGGGGGTGGGGGCCCCTCCACATGTGGTCTGATTCCCCACATTTCACCCAGGGACTCCCCCCCTCAAACAAAAAGCAGCAACACGGCGGGTGTTTGCGCCTCGGGCGTCTTGCAGCTGGCCACATCCGAGCGTCCGTCCACGGCTTCCACGGCCTCTCACGGTTTGGTGTGGCCCTTTCGGGGTGTGTTTCGAGGAAACGCAAAACTCACTTCCTGAGTGGATTGACCCACCACCTTGCGGGCCGGCCCCTTCCAAGAGACCCTCAAAAAACCGCCGAAACTCAAGAATTTGTATACCTGCGCAAATGGGCGTCTTGTCTGATGACATGGGAGTAGTTATTTGTGGGGCTCGGTACTTTATCAGCTTGGCTGAATGGCAAACCATAAGCAGCGCCAGTAGTTTGGGGGGGTCCCCCTAGATGTTTGACCACCCATCCAAATTTGGAGGGTGGCGGGGTGGCTCAGCATGGTGCAACCCTTTTTGGGTGGTAAATCCAGCTCCCTTGATTTCTTGTGGGCAAGGCTTCTGTATGTGTTTGTTTTTTTGTCGAGGGTAACTACCGCTTCTTGGAGGTTTCGATCAACCCAGCTTTGGCATACACGAAGCGAAGGAACAGTCATGTTCCCGCTGTTGAGCCGGACTTGAAGCGAAGGGGAGCATGTGTTGGAAGCAGTTTTGAGGGTGTCACTTCAGCAGCACTACCTCCTCCCTCCCCTCCAAGGTTTCATGAAAAGGGGAATTCTCAAATCGCATTGTCCAAATGATGTCCCAAGCCACGCACAAGGCAAGCACACGGAGCCCTCAAAGTGGCATAGATACTCTTTGCCAAAATCATAAGACGCACGTGACTCTAAACACTAGGGACCATTTTTGACGCAGGACGAGGCGTCACTGCCGCCACCCAAGGGGTGGAACGCCTTGGAGGCCTATGCCCTTTGTGCTGGCGAGAAGGAGAAAATCTGTGTGTGGCAGGTTCCCGTCCCAAAAAGAGCTTCGCTGCTTTGAGACAAACCTCTCCAAGTATGCCCGGCTGGACATGAGGGGGCCCGAGGGCTGCAACTTCTCTCTTGAGGCTTGGTACTGTACCATTTTTAGGGTTCGCTTAAAGGGAAAGCAAAGGGAACACGCCACTCATTCGGACGAAACCTGCGAGACGTGCGACATTAATTGGGGTCTTAAAATTGGGACACCCATCTTTACATGGCCTGGCTCTGAGACTTGCACACTGAATGGCAAAGTGCAGGGTGCCTCATTTCACAAAAAAAACCTGTGAGAGGGCTTAGTGGTGAGTTTCCCTTTGACTGTCTTTTGATTGTTTCTCCTCTTTTTGGCACACACACACACCAATCCTACACTGATTAGGGAGTCTTTTTTAGGGGACTGCCCCACCCCAAGCAAAAGGGAAAGTAATGTTCCTTTCGTCGAGAAAACCACCAACACGAGGGGTACCAACTCCAGTGGAACGGAACACCTCTCAGGTTCTGTTTTGGGTTTGGGTCCTCAACTGAGAAAAAACGGGACTGGGTGCGCAGACTCCAGTCTTCCACACCCATTCATTTGGAGCCACAGCGTCACCCATGAGTTTCATGAGTGACACTTGAGGCCACTCAGGGACCCTTCAGGGACCCTGCCATCGCATCGCTTTCCATGCGGAAAAGAGCACAAAGGAGGTGAGCCTCCCTTTCCGCCCCCCGAGACTCACTTCAACGGTCCAAACCCCAAAAGTGACAAGAATTCCATGAACTCAGGGACCAAGACAAGAAGCTGTGCGACTCGCCAACCAACCGCGACGGAACCGACGCCGACGCCTTGCCTTCCCGTGGGAATCCACGAGGATGAGGCTCGGGATGCCTGAGACCTCGAAGTGCCTCCGGAACCACTTCGAAGTCCGCGACCAAAATGCGGACCAAACAAACCTAGGGGTACCTTCCAACCATTCTTTCTAGGGATCCTCCTTTCTAGAAAACCTCCAGAATCCCGAGAAAACGCCTGGGTTTTGAAAAGAACGATGGTTGCAAATAATGGGGAATCAAGCCCTGGAAAAATGGAATGAGTCCTCCCAAGAAGCATCTGCGAACATATAGTGTGATGCATTTGCACACCTGTGCATCTCTAGACTTCATGGCAACATAATGCTCGCGATCGAATTCTGCAGAGCCTACAAAGTAAAAGACAGGGTGGAACCTGCCAAAACTGAGTTGCCCAAATGGCCTGGAACTAAAATGAACCTTTTGGGGCCAGGACCAAGATCAGAAAACCAAGATGGGACAAATCAAAAGGTCCAAAGACAGGTTGAACAAGTGAGAAGAACTGTTTGGGTTTGGGAAGCTCCTCAATTGGAGCCTGGGCCACGAGCAGACCAGTGGATGTGACTGGAAACGCCATTGACCGGCAGCTTCCCCTCGGGCCAAGCGGGGGCTGGCCTGCACTTGCAGGGGGTCCTATACATTTCCAATCTTAGAATACAACCCTCTAGAAGAAAACCCATATTCAATAGGCGTTTTAAACGCTATGTAGTTGTGCATTCCTATGCATATCTCCTACTAGCTCGCTCGTTAAAAAACAAAAAACAACAGGAACAGGGTTCATACACATTCAGGTGCTCTACAAATTAACTGAGAAAAACAAGAAGGGTCTAATTCCCAAAAGAAGTTCGCTCCTCAAATGGGTGGGTTGTTGTGTCCTATGTTCATCTGTAAGGGAGCAATTTCATCCTTAACTTTTTTTGTGGATACCTTCCTGAATGAAACCGCCGGGTCTACTCAAATTGGGGATGCTCTTTTTATTGTCCAGGCTTCGCACCAGTTGGTCTTCGCTCCAGTTGGTCCAGTACAAATAAGGCTTCATCCATGCCAAGTGTTGCAGAGTTTCGTCCATCCACAGTCCGGGCGTGCTTTCTTGAGGGTACCCTTTTCTTTTGAGGCTACCCTTTTTGGGTGGTTTGAAATGGACATCATGATGTTTATCCGTCCTTTCTTTTTTTGGGGGGCATTGTATTTGAACACAATGCCTTTGTGGACCGCCCCATTCCCCCCCCCCCACCCCCCACTCCCCCTCCCAGGTCTCTTCCGCCTGGACAGTTGCTCGCGCTCCTTGGTGGCCTTAAAGTCCACCGCCAGCCAATCTCCGTGGTGGTCGGCGAAGTAGTCCTACCGTCCCCCGGGGTTTTGGCGTATAAAACCTGATTAAACAAGCTGGGCTTGGTTAATCTGCGGGGTCCCTGAACTGTTTATAACTTATATCTTAAGATGATTGGTTTTGGTGTTCAATAACCCCTGTTTATCAATATGGGGGTGTTCCCATCCCCCAGAAGTGATATTTACCCTCACTAAAACCAGGCACCCCTGCTTATCAACTGGGGTTGGTGAATCTAGGGGTTCCCATTGTTTTTTTTGTACATCTAAGATGATTCCCACTCCCCCCCCAAGACTACATCCACAAAAAAAAATGGGTAACACTATTTAGGTACATTGCAAAATTCTGGTAATGTGTTTGGGGTGGCAGAAACCATCTTAGACATAACACGCCAAAAGAGGAAGGGACCAACTCACGTCCTGGTGGATTGCAGCACAACTCCATCCAAAAACCACACGCCGTTTTTCAAGGGATCCTGCAAATCAGATGGTACTTGTCATTTTTTGGCCTCTATCTCTTCCTGAGTGGATTGGCCAAGAACAGTCAAACCTTCTTGCTTGCCACGAAAAAGATGTCTGCCCAACAAGCAAAAGTTCAGGAAGTCAGGGAGTGAGTCAATATTTCTTTCGAAAGGAACCACAGGAACCTTGTGATGTTCCGGAGTTGCCCTCTATCTTGAGGGGAAGAGGTAAGGTTTCCAATTTCATTCTGGCCTTTCCCTGCACCGGAAAAAGAAGCATGCGTGCCTCGTCCCCCTCCATGTTTAACTCAGTTGCCGAAAGCGCCCTGTAGTACAAGGTGATCACCTTGTGGGGCCACCCAAAATGGGAACCCGGAATGGGAAAACCAAAAGGAGCTTTCAGGTCGACTCCGTTTGGACAACACCGCAACCCCCAACCCCCTGTGTTTCATGGGGTGGAGATCCAAACAACGAAAAATCGTTCGGTTCACCACCCCTCCCCCTCCTCCTCCCCGTTTGCTCCTGGGCCTCCTCTGGAGTTTTGTCTGCGGACACGAAGATGATCTCCACGTTCTCGCCCTTCTCCTTGAGCGTCTCGTAGAACCTCGTGGCTCAAAACCCCCGAAGGCCCAGGCCGTACGCTGCGGTCGTAAGGCTGAAAGATTCGGGGGGGGGGGGTCCCTCGCGGGCCTGTTGCGGCCAGCTCCCATCGGATCACCCCCCCCCAAAATCCCCATGTTCGAGCTGTGCGCGCAACAAGCCCCCCGCGGAGGAAGTTCAACATGTTGCTGGTGAATACTCACGTCCGGGTTGGTCGGATCAAAAAGGTTCAGATGTTTGATTCACCGCTAGAGTGACCATTCCAAAACGCTCTCAAGCCCTTGGAAAATCAGCCTGGGGCACCCCAAGACCACAGATTCCTGGCTGGTGCCATAGGTGGGGAATGTGGGAAGGAACCGGAAGGGGATTCCCTTGAAGGAAGCCACCAGTTGGATGGTTTACAAGGGTCATTCCCTTCCATTTGCTTCTCGCCTGCTGGAAAAAACTGTGGAACATATGTCCACTAGTGATATAAAAAACCCTTAAACACAAAGGGAACATGAGTGTGGGTCAAAAATAGGTACCCAAACTGGAACACTGGTAAATGGAAGCAAGGACTAAAACCTGCGGCCCCTGGTGATTCAATTTTGACGCTTGCCCATTCCAGTAAATGGACGGAGTCCACTTCGTAGGGCCCCGGGGATCCTAATGAACATCCCAATGAACATTGCAGCTATACATGGGTCAAAACTGCAGCCATATATTTTCACATGGCCATGGGTCAAAACCCAAATCGGCTAGCCCCCGGTGAACATCCGATTCAATCCAACCACTAAAATAAGTTCTAAAATGGGTGAATTCACAAATCCCCCAAAATGGGATCCCTTTCGTTGTGACCCACAGCCATCTCTCTCGCGTTTCCTCGCATCAATTCGAGGCGCTGCTTCAGGGCCGGCGTGAATCCTCTGCATGGCGGGCACCAGTGAGCCGAGAAGTAGAGCCTCGGGCGGAAAGCGGATCGAGGTTCTCGTAGCTTCCATGGCCCGGGATGCCTCCTTTTCAAGTCAAACAACAAATTGGAGAGGCGGTTGGAGGGGCATGGTGGAAAATTCCTGGGGTAGGGCTGCTTTCTGGGCCAAGGAGTCAAAAAAGGGTCTCACTTCCTGAGAAAAAATGGCCAGGAAACCTCCAAACCTTTGGTTTACCACTGAATGGTGTTGCACAAGGGTTAAAAAACCATCAACTCCCGAGTGGTACAAAACATGTGTCCAATCCCGGGGAAGATGGGTGCTGAAAAGAAGGAGGGGGTGGAAAATTTCGGGAATCAACCATGGAAGGTGGGTCTTTGTCGAGGCAGTTTTGGGTCTGGTGAACACGCCCGTGCGTTTGAGGCACTTCCCCACTCTTGCCGGCAAGCCGAAATCCAGAAAAAACAACGAGGAAACAGGTGCTTCCCCTTTAGACCCACGGATTTTCCCACGGAAAATCCCAAGCCTCGACGGATTTCCTGAGGGCTTTCGAAAGCCTTGCAGCCAAGCCGGACGTTTCAGATGTGGCTGCAAGGCGGGTTTTCCTTGGAGTTGGTACCAGCTGTGGGTTTTTAAGGCGAAGCAGAGGGAAAGCGGGGACGGCACTTTGTCTTGGGGAGAAAAAGGGGCCAACAACTTTGAACCTGACCCAACGGTTCTCAAGTGATCTATACTCAAAGTTGCATGCAAATATGCGGACGGCTAACAAAGCACAAACATGGATTCCTTTAACTTGGCCAAGTCATGTTCAAGCAGCCAAAGCATGGGGATTACAAATATACATATATATATATATATATACAGCAACCCCTGGCACCCCCAATAAAATGATGCGAGGATCGCCACCACTTTGCCAGTGATGTCGCCCTTGGACCCATCCTGGCACAGGGAGAGGCACAAGCAAGCCAGACAACTTGCCCATCTTTCGAAACCTAAACATCCACACAAGGACATGCTCAAGGAACAAAATGAAACATACATACCTCTTTCTATATATATATATATATATGTGTGTGCATCTATATGTATGCATATGTTTATTTCTTTCTTTCTTTCTTTCTTTCTTTCTTTCTTTCTTTCTTTCTTTCTTTCTTTCTTTCTTTCTTTCTTTCTTTCTCTCTCTCTCTCTCTCTCCCGCGCTCTCTGCCAGAGGTGTTTCTTCGCACATCTTAGCACTTGTTCAATCCTACCCACATGCCGTCCGGGCTTGCGAAATGAACAATGCGGCCAATAGGCTAAAGCCCGATCCGCTTGCCACTTTCGCTTGACATCAAAGCCGATTCGTGACGAACTGGGAGATCTGGGCCTTTCCCGGCCCATGTTCCTGCGGTAAAAAGCCGCTTGCTGAAAACCGGGCTGCCCTCAGATAGCTGGGAGCCAAGTTCAAAGTGCTCCTTGCTCAGGAAGCTTCCTGACTCCCTTGCTGCTGAGTCACCCAACAAGTCCCCAACAACTGCGGCGCCGAAGGCTCTTGGACGTTCAAAGGGCTGGAATGAGCCAACTTTGATGAGAAAAAAAACGCCAGGTGAGAATCGGATTCCCAGATTCATGTTTATGGCAAAAGCCCTTGCAGAACTCTTAGATCCTTAGGGCCCAAGAAACGCTAAGCATCGGGTCCATGGATCTCGGCCTCTCTCCTTTTGGGTTTTGCTTTAATGAAGAGATCTTACTAGCTTTTCGGGGGGGGGGGGAGGGGTTGTGTTTCTTGCTTAAACCTGAGCCAATTCCTGGGGTGCCACTACCCGTCCTTCTTTACCAGCGGCAGGCTTGCCAAGGGCGACGCCATCGATGAGTTGCGTGAGTCACGTCTCTGGAACTGAGCCGAATGCTTGCCGGCGGATCTATACAAAGCCTTCCCGCCCCCCCCAGAAAAAAACACTGTGATCATGGAAGCGAACAGCAGGAAAGCAGTGGAAAAAAACAACGTCGCCAAGTGAAACGGCAGTCGGCTTTGGCGGGCCTTTCTTTCAGCCATTTCAGGCAGGTTCAAAACCCTTTAGCAGATCAAGCACAAGTCTACTTCCGCAAAACAAAAGAACATCTCAGAAACAAGAGTTAGAATCAGAGCACATATAAACAACAAGATACACATCGAGCTAGTGTGTTTGATATTGCTTCCTCACTTCCTGAGTGAACTGGCAACACACATGTTGATGCTTCATATTTGCACATATTCCAAGGGCAAACATCCAAAGCCCAATCATCCACATGTATCAAACTGCTCCAAACCCAACACATTCATTCCAGATCCAAGGCCGCTTCGTTTTTTGTTTTGCCTCCGTAAAATGCTCCAAACCCAGAGGCTCCTGGGGCTTTCAATGGAAGACCCGACCCCTCCATTAGACACCCCGAAGGTGTTTGGGGGTCTCAAAACCTGTTTGAGGGCCGAAATACATCGGGAGCCTCTGGGAACTCCAAAAAGGTGAGGTCCCCCGAGCCGGAGGGCCCGAGTCAAACCGACCCGAGGCCGAGGACCCGAGGCCTCGGGGACCCGGGCCGGGTGGGGCAGAGCGCCGCGGTGGCCGCGGCCACCTCCGGGAGACGCTCCAAGACCTGCGACGAGGGGGCAGAGCGGGGGAGTGGGGAGGCCCGGGGAGTGGGGGGGAGGGAGGGGGAAGGGGAGGGACAGGGAGGGGAGGGAGGGGGGTTGGAGGAGTCTATTTGGCCAAGAACCCGAAAAATAAAAAATAAAATAAACAAAGTACCCAGTGAATCCATTACCTGTAAAGGTTAAAACAGAACAAAATACCCCGTGATTCAAACTTTATACGTACATATGTATAGATAACCAAGGGAAACACTCTTGAAAAACCCAAAGGGACAACATGTGTCTCAGTTGCCCAAAGGACCCAGAAATAAAAGGTTAACCTTTTGGGACCTTTGCCAAAAATGGAAAAAAAACACATGGGAAACCAAAAGGTCAAAAGGTCAAAAGGTCGATTCGCTTTGGGCAAGTGTTGCTCTAGTGGCAGCCGGGATCCACTGGGCGGAAGTTCGGCCCTAAAGTATCGAGTCCGAGCCGCCGCTTCGATCTCCCCCAGCTCGATGCGGAAGCCCCGAAACTTCACCTGGTGGCCCCCAAAGACTCCGAGGAATGGGCGGCTTTGCAAGATACCACTGGCAAAATGGGCGGTGTTGCCAAGCTGCAAAGGGGTAATTAAACAAACTGGTGGTGTGCAACCTTTCTGCCAAACTCGGTTTGCAGTGGCTGGCTCCCATATCATCTATGAACAGGAACAATGTGTCTCAAACATAGGGGCACTCCTTTTCAAAACAGAAAATGTGTGGCTTTGCAACCTTAAACCACCCTGAAAACGGCGCCCCTCAGAAAACACGAAAGGACGGAAAACTGCATGTACCTATTTGGGGCTGCATACAAATCTTCGCTGATTCCGAGTTCCAAGTGCAAGGGAGTTAAGTGGCTGGCTCGTAGATCGCTGCACATCAACGAAAGGAGCAAATCGCAGGTTTGCAAGCATACATCCCAGCCCATGTTTCAATCTTTGGGCTTGGACACTCTGATCCGACTTTCAATTTGGGCAATCGGTCCATAGGATCACAATACTTCGCCTTTCCGGGTCATTCCTAAGGCGTGTAGCAAAACATGGGGTCGCCAAAAGTGTACATGCTGGCCATATTGAATATCACATCAGCTAACTCGGATGCCGTGGCGAGGTAATCAAGCTGCATGTGGGAAACCTCTGCCACAACCCATCGGGAATTTCCCGTTTTAGCTTCCATTTCCAGAAAAAAACAAACATGCCCTTTCTTCGGTTGCCGGGACATTCCTTTGCTTCTTCTTCCCGGGTGCTTCACGATTTAAGGCGTTGCACGGGCGATTGCGGCGCTTTGGCGTGGAAGTGCGCTTTTATGCGTGCGGCTTTTTGTGGCAGTTGTGACGGCTTTTTGTGAGCGCTGTGCCGCCATTTGCGGGCGCTTGTCCTTGCTTCGGCGCCGGGAATCCGCGGGTGTTTGAGTTGCAAACTGAGGCACAAACAGAAATTACAAGTAAAAACATACTCGTTGGAATGTCCAGGTCCTTTCTTTGTGGGCTGTTTGTTCAAAATGGAGGGTTTGTCAATCCTAATCCATAATCCCCACAGGAAACCACTATCAAGGGGACTCCTTGCGAAACCCAAGGTAAGGATCAAGGATTGCCTTTGAACAGCCCAGTCTTTCTCTGCAGGCTAACATGGGACCCAAAAAGCCATCCTTTGTAGAGGAAACTTCTTCTGGGGGAGCTGACAAGACTTGGTTGCTGTTGACCCCCCTGCAAAAAGTGGATCACTTTTTAGGGGTTAAGTGGAAAACCCAACTTGATTTCAACCTAAAAGTTAAAGTCTAAAGACCCAACCCAATAGCCGTCAAGAAGAAGACCCCCTTTGGGTTCCTTCCGTTCATTTCTACTCCTGGGATGGATCCCGTGCCTGTTGGTCCAGTCGCCCCAGGAACTCGAGACCGTCTCCTGCGCGAAAGTCGTAACGAAACAAAAACAAACAACAAAACAGAAAGACACCGCAGCCCAACAAATGGGCGCCTGAAACCTGAAAATTCCCTCAAGAGTGGGTTTTACTCCAACATGATGGGGTGATATCCCATTTTCATGGGTAGTTTGAGGATCCAGGTGTCGATCTTTTCGAGGGTATCCCCTGTTTGCAGCCTTTAAAGGAAAAGAACAACAAAACAAACATTATGGGGTCCAACCTAAACGAAGACACGCCCAAATGGAACCTGTGGAACGCACCCCACGGCCAGGTCTTCACAGCAAAAATGAAGAATCAACAGAACAGCTCTTGACGGAATATCATTGAATGCCAGCTGAATGTCGTGGTTTGGGTATGGTTTGTGATGCGAGATGGATTTGATGTGACATGTCTGCCCAACGCTTTGCGACGTAGGTCCTGCGTGGCGCACCAGGTCGCCAGTGCGATACACCTGACATCCCCGGTCCCGCCAGGTGGGGAACACGCGAGTCCACCTATGATTTCCCTACCCGCCGAAAAAAAAGAAGAAGGGCCAGACCCGCATTGGTCTACTTGTCCATTTGCCACATGTTTGAGCCACACCCGTATGTCAGTTCTGGGGTCTTCGCAAGGTTTGAGACCTGGGAAGGCTATAGCCCACTCGTAAGGCCCTTGCAGGATGACGAAGTACTGGGTGTTAAATAGATGGAACAAATTGAAACATTGACAGAAATGGCTGGGCAAAAGCGAAAAAGTGGAAGAACGTGGAAAAATGGACAAGATCCTACACCCCGTTGCCTTCCATTTGGGGGAACTTGCGAGTTCTGATGCTGAAGCGACCACGGGCAGTCCATTATCAGCCGTCCGCGCCTTGCCCTCGTCGCTGTCAAGGAAGCTTTGGGCCGTAAGCTCCGGGCGGTTGTGGTACCCCAAGGCCACTCCTATGCCACCAACCTGCGGCGCTCAATGAGGCTTCCGTCCAACAAAAATCCTCAGCTTCCGTCCCCTTGCAAAATATGTGTTTGACTCCGGTTCATATTTAGTGAACCTGAAGACGTAGCATCATTTAAACTGTGACATACCCTCCAAGACCCAGCCAAGGTAAACACAAATGAATACATCGCCTAAAGGCTGCGATAAACTGCGCGTCACAACTTGTGAAGGCAAGACACCAGCAGCTCACCGTCAGCCTCTTCTTCGCCTGCCTCGGGGCGGTTCAGGAGACCAGGTGACATGGCCCTGATTGCAAGAGTGGACCACCTAACTCAAAAAGGACCCCCAGCAAAAAACATGTTTTGCCTGGTAGTGGAAAACAAAGGGAACCCCAAAAAAGCCAACAAATGAAAAGGGGAACTTCTTCTGGGGAAGCTAAATGGTGCTTGGTGGAGGTGGATCCTATAGCCAGGTGATGTCCACCAAGGGCTTCTCCATTGAAACTCAAAACCACGATCATGTGACTTGCCAGGTGTCTAAAAACAAAACGAGCTGACGAGCCTGCGCGCACATGCTCCGATGGTGAAAGCCTGCCACAAGAAAGCTTGCTTGCCCAAACGGCCAGACATTTGAGGGCTGACTTCCTGCCTGCGATTCCAAAGGGACCCTCTTCAACATGTCTCCGTTCATTTCCGCGCCTTCGGATGTTGAAAGGGACGCCTGACCGAAAAAAGGACTGCGGTTTTTGGCGGCCTTTCCGGAAACATGACAACGTACAGAATGAAGAGTGGTCCCTTTGGCAAACCGTCAAACCTGTTCTGGCAATCCCTGTACTCGTCGGCGCCGTATGCGTTCCAACAATATCCATTGGGTTGTCAACAACAAGTTGTTTGGCACCTTTTCCCAATAGGGCGCAAGTGGCTTTTTTAACGTGTGCACGAGTGGTGCGTGTGTGTGTGTGTGTGTGTGTGTGTGTGTGTGTGTGTGTGAGTAGGACGTGCGGTGTGCGAGTGGACTGTGCGATTGTGCGAGCGGAAGGGGCGAGGGCCCGCTTGAGTGGACGAGAGAGCCCTACTTGCACACTGTTTCACTCGAACAGTAACTTTCGGCTCATTTGTTGTGACCTTGTGTTCGAGCCGCTCGCCCGCCCACTCGCACACTCGCACGCAGGCTCCCAGGGTACTCGGAGGCTACTCCTGCAGGAACTATCCCCATTTTATTTTGCAACCTCTTGGATCCAGCAAAAAATATCCAGCTTAAAAGGACAAGCCTAAGTCATCGCATGGACTCCTATGGGGGCTATGGGGGCTATCCCTGGAGAAGCCGAGGACAAGCCAGGGTGAAGCCAGTGCGAGGGCCAAGGTTTGGAGGTATGAGGTTACTCCATGCC